AGGAAGTATGTAATATGATCTTTACAAGGGCATTTTAGGATGAGTAAGAGATAAAAGAGGGGAAATCCGATGTGATATTCCAATAAACTTTACATTTCAAGATAATTGATATTAGATTATAAGTTTGTTAAAAGAGACTGGGGTGGGGGGGCTCTGGCTGGTGGGGTGGGATTTGGGAACTTGTGGGGTGATGAGAAGTCCGCAGGTCCCTCTTAGGGCCTTGAAAGTCCCAAAGCAGTGAGCAGTTAGTCCATTAAGCTAGATGGACTTTCTAAGTGCGAGCCGCCTCCTTCTCAAAGGCTGAGCTGCAAGTTTTCTTGTTTAAGACAAGCGGAGGAGAACAGAACATAATCATTAGAGGTGTGGAAAGATAGCTAGAGAGAGCTAGTGGCATCGACATATGCCGTCCAGAAGTAGAAGGCAGAGTTAAATGGTGGGCCAGAACTTAAAGTCTTTGAAGATTCCAAAAAGGGTCTTAGAGACTGAGAGATGCTGTCACCAGAGAGAGGCCGAGAAGGTGGTGAATAGGAGAGTCTACTGTTCAGAAATCATTATAGTTTGTTCTTACAAGTTTGGCAGGTTCTTGGTACAATTATATAACTACACATACATTTGGCGTATAGAGATGAATTATGTACTATGCATGTAATTACATGTAGCAAAATGTGTACTTTTATTTGGTGGGTATTTACATAGTACAGTGAATAGTGTACTTAGAAATAATTAACATAAAGTATTATTTAAAAAACAAAACAATTAAAAGTAGTTTGGTTTGCTTGAGTGCCAGAGAGAGAGAGGAAGAGACAGAGAGACTCTGGAATCTTCCTTTTATTTATTCCAGTAGTCTATGCCAAATTGTTCTGGAAGGCAGTTACCAAAGACAATGTATAATCTTTTGATTTAAGGCAAAGACCTTTTTAAACTTAAAGTGTCTCAAAACTTCTGTCTGGCCTTAGCTATTCCTAAATTTAAAACATGTACAAATTCAGTCAACTTAAATGAATATCTTGATATAATTTTCAATTTCTATATTTGTAAAATTGAGATTCCTATATTACTTATTAAGAATATGATTCATTTTTACCATGCGTCAAAAAGTAGTCATGACTTTATGGGTATGATGTAAACATTCAGCATTTTGTATTGTTTCTGGCTAAATGTTTCTTGTTGAAAGCTATTCAAAACTAGTCTAATTTGAATGCAAAAATATTCAGAAAGTGAATCAAGGTCTTAGAACGAATCTTTTTCAGTTTTTTTTTTTTTTTAAGCATATTATATAGGATTCAGATTTCTGGTTGTTTTTTTTTTCTTTTTTTTTTTTCATTATTCTTAGATTGAGGTTAAAAACTCCAGATTATTCTCCAACTTTTTTTGGAGATAAAGTTTCTAGGTGGAACTTAGTTTTATGAGTCCATTATAAATAAGATTTCAGAATATAATGAGTCTTTTGTGGAGGAATAAAACAATCTTTTTTTTTTTTTTATGATGCCCTACATTGTAAGACATTTTTCAGTTTGGAAGAAATTCTTGATGGTTAATTCCTTCAAGAAATTAGGTTAAGTGTATCAAAATAATTACTAAATTAGAATCTTTAGAAAATAAGGTAATATATTTTCCTTTCTTGAGGCTACCAAAAGAGGACCAATTTAGTAATAATCAACTCACATGGTATTTTAGAGAATTTTCCAATTTTCACCTTAATGGATTTAATCAATCATATGTAGATGTTGGGAGACAGGAGGCTCCATAAAATGCTAGAAAGATGGGAATGTGTGAACTGCTAAAAAGTACCTGACAATTTTCTGTAAGTTGTATTCATTAGTATTATCACACCCCAATATGGCCACCAATCTTTGCTTAGGCAGAATAAAATGAGTCGGAAAAGTAACTTAGGAATTCTGGGCTCATATATTAGTTATTTAGTTGCCTTATTTGGTGCTACATTGCCTTTCATTTAGAGGTGTCAGGAACCCCATCTAATATTTGGGATATGATACTTGGGAATTTGAGGAAGTTAGTCACATACTTGAGAATTGGGAGTTTTCTATCCCTACAGGGAGAGCCTGAACATAAAAAGTGAAAATGATGCCTCTGGATTGTTTTTCTTGTGCTTACTTCTAACATCAATTTTGATCAAGGTGCTTCTTGGTACTGGGCCAGTCATCTTGTTAACCTGCCTCTTTCTCACACTTAGTTCTGAGTGATTATAGCAATTATTTTATTGTCCTTGTAGATGGAGATCTAAGTTCTCAAATCTTTCCATTTCCTGAGTATTTTATACAGTAAAAAGCTTTGTAGACCCACTATCCTTGGATGGCAGTGGTTCCTCCTGATTTTCCACAATGGTGAGAATGAAAGTCAAGCTGGAAGCTAAAATGCCTCTAAAAACAGATATAATTTGTTCCTATTCTGACTGTATTGAAGAAAAATAAACGTACTTTAAAAATTTTTTTTAGGTCCCTGTTGATTATTTCCCTGAATTAAGATAATTTTTGATCAGTGGTTTATCTTGACGCCATTTTAAAGTGGTAACATTTTGAGGTGCTGGCAAAGTTATTAGAAATTGTCCCCCCACTCCTGCCCTACCCTAATAGAGAGCAAGAAGCCTTGTATAACCCAAAACTTGGGTAGAAGAAATTAAACTTTATGTAAATTCAACGTACTGTTTTTCTAAGTACATTTAACGTACTGTTTTTCTAAGTCAAGTTAACGTGCAAATAATGTAAATATAACCAGAAGTGTAACAAGGGTATTTAATACTCATCACATCTATCTCTAAAATATTGCAGTGGATTATTCGGAACCTTGAATTCCAACCTGATGTACTTCTGGAGTATTACACAGGTCATATATATTTCACTTTTTTGGTTCAAACCCAGGGGATTGACACGATAATTAGATTGAGAACATCTGCACCAAATCAAAACAATTTCCCTGATCCTTCCTTGAGCCTTCTCCAGGGAGGGAGGGAGGGAGTGAGTGAGTGAGTGAGTGAGTGAGTGAGTGAGTGTGTGTGTGTGTGTGTGTGTGTGTGTGTGTGTGTGTGTGTGTTTAAGCCCCTGCACATTTATTTGTTGAGTCATCTCGAGGGCAATCCCGAGGTCTCCCCTGCCTGCAACTGCACAAACAGGAGGGGAGGGCATCCGCACCCGTTAGATGGAATTGGGGAGGAATAGTCAAGATGCCGCCTTTTGTAGGGACAGGAATCACCGGAGGTGGCAATGCCTTTCCCGCCAGAGGCCTGACTCTGGGACAGGGCGTGGCCAGGCGAGCGGGTGGGCACGTACGCGGGGACCCGAGGACTCCAGTGTCAGGGCGCCGCTGCCCTCTGCTGGGCGGCGCTGTCGGAGCTCCAGCGCGGCCGCCGGCGGGCTGCGCTCGGTTGGGGCGCCCTGCACCCCGGCAGGCGGCCCTTGGCGTCGGAGGTCCGGAGTGCTCTCCTGGGCGCGGCGTCGTGGCATCTGAGTCCGAGGCTCTCGAACCCCCTTTCCCTTCCAACCCCTTGACAGCCCCGGCGCTCTCTTTCACACCTGATTCCTGCCCCTCCTGCTGGAAAAAATGCGATGCAGACGCACAGAGAACCCCCCTCCAGACCCCGGGATCGCGCACGTAACTCCACCGAAGCTCTGGGTCAGCGGTGCAGGACCAGGGGCTCCAAGTCCTGGCGCTTCCACTTCCATGCTCCTCGTTCACAAATGCTCAGTGCCAGGCCTTCGAACTCAGCTGAACAGCAATAATATCTCATTTACATATTTTACTTTGTAGTCCACACAAATTTTATTTACATATAAGTTTCAAGATTAAGGAGTTTGGGGATTTTTTTAAAAAACTAATTACACGTTAAATGAAGTGCGGGAGAGTAAAAGTACAGTATTCCTACTGGAAACTCCTAAACTAACACGTGTATATAATCAATTAAAGATGACGAACATAAAACGTGTGCTTTGGCCAAGGGTTTCTGCGAAGAAGAAAAAAAAATCAAGAGAATTGACTTTTTGGTTTATAAATTTTAGCATTTGTGTAAATGAAGGACCATGCTTTCTGATCTAAGGGCTCCCATAACTTTCCAAGTTTCTGCACCCAAAGGAGTGGAACCCGAGGTGCCTGAAGTGCAGGAAGTTTGCAGGGCTGCTCCGCGGGAGCGGTGCGGGGGGATCGGAGCGGGGCTCGCAGCCTTTCCCTGCCGGGCCTAGCGGGCGCCGCTCCGGCGATCGGAGCCGCTGGGACCGCCGGCCGCCCGGCCGCGGCGCGGGGACGTGCGCGCGGGGACCGCGCTGACACTGTGCGGGGGCATTCATCTGTGCCGCTACGGGAGGGTCAGGGGTGGCTTCCCTTAAATCTATTCCCCCCACTACCAAACAAACGCTGTCCCCGGCGGGCTCGGGCTCGGAGTCGGCTGGGGTGCAGGGAGTGGGGGTGCGGCGCCGAGTGGGGGCCGGGCAGGTGGTCCCGGCGGCTCGGCGCGCTGTGCACCCCGCAGGAGGGCGAGCGAAAGCGGCGCCGTTTCCGCGCCCGCCCTGAACGCGGCCGCACCCCGCAACCTCAGACACCGAAGGGGCGGCGCTGGGCCAACGACCGCGACCCCGGGGGCCCCCCCCCCGACCCACGCCCCGGGGGACTCCGGCCGCGGCCCGGACTGCCCTTTCCGCTGCCCTCCAGCGCCCCCTCGGGGCGGGGCCGGGCCGGCGGCCGCGCCCGCCGGGGCTGGGGTCCCGGAGGGGCGGGGGTCGCGGGCCCCGGGCTGGCGCGGGGGGAGGGGGCAGGGGCCGCACGCGCCGGGCCGGGTGGCGGCCGCCGCGCCCTCGGGCTCCGGCTCCGGCTCCGGCTCGGGCTCGCCGTGGCTGCGGCGGCGCCGTGAGGAGGAGTCCGCGTCCTCGGCGGAGGCGGCGGCGGCCGGCTCCAGGCCGGGTTTTGGCGCCGCCCGCCTGCTGCCTCCTGGCGGCTCCTGAACTCCAGCCCCCTCTCTATCAGCCTCTCACTCCGTCTCAATATGTCTCAAGATGGCGGCCAATGTGGGATCGATGTTTCAATATTGGAAGCGCTTTGATTTACAGCAGCTGCAGGTCAGGCTTCTCCGCGCTCGGCCTCTCGCCCCGGGGTGGGGGCTGCGGGCGGTCGCGGCCTCCCCTGGGGCCCCGGGCTGCCCGGTCGCCGGGGGGCCGCGGCGGCGGGGAGGAGGGGGTGCCGGGGAAAGCCGGGCCGAGTCGGGGACAAGTCCCTCTCTCTCCCCGGCTCCCATTGATCACTCGCTTGATCAGAAATTGATCCTCTTTGTTCAATTCATCGATCAGCCCAAGATGGCGCCGGGAGCCGCCGCCGCCACCGCTGCCCCCGGGGTCGGCCCCCACCCCGGGCGCCCCCCCGGCCCTGCGCCGCCGCCACCGCCGCCGCCGCCGCCGCGGGACCGGGGAGGGGGCGGCCCCGGCGGCCCGCGGGGTGCGCGCGCGGGGAGCGGGGAGCGGCTGCGGCGGCGGCGCCGCGCCGGGAGGGGGCTGCGGCCGGCCGGTGGCGCCTGGCCGCGCGACCCGCGCCCCCGGCCCGCCGTATTCCCGGGGAAAGTTTGTGGGGAGTTGCTGTGGGGGGTGAAGCGCCCTGCCTCTCCAGGAGGAGCCGCCGCCGCCACTGCCGCCGGCGCGGCGGAGCTGGGCTGGTGGCGCTGTGGTGCCGCCGGCTCGGGGGAGGGTCAGAGCGGCCACCGGCGGCGGCGCGGCCCGGCTCCGGCCAGGCGGGCGGGCGGGCCGGCAGGCGTCCGAGTTCCCCGGCCCGGGCGGCGCGGGCTCCGGCCGCTGCCCCAGCTGTCAGCGGGCGGGGCCGTGGGGCCGCTCCCGCATTCGGTGTCGGGCTCCTAACGCGGACCCCGGGGTTTGTTTACGTCTGGACGGGAGCCCCGGGGCCCCCGCAGACCCCCCAGCGCCCCGCTCTTTTGTGTGCCTGTCCGAGCGGCGCCGCCGGCTCCCCCGCGGCCGGAGACACGGCTGGGGGCGCTTGGAGGAAACTTGCGAGGGGCGGTGGGGTCGCCCCGCGCGCGGAGCCTGGGTGTCGGGGCGCCCGGGAGCGCTCAGCGGTCGGCTGTGCGGGCGCGTGCGGGGGCCGCAACTTTCTCCCGGCGCCGGCCCCGCGCGCTGCCTTCCCGGGCGGGGGGCGCCGCCTGTCCCGGCGGCCTCACCGGCGCCCAGGACTTCCCGCGGCCCCGAGTCATCCTCCCACTCCCCTTTGGCCCTCTCCTCCCGGACTCTCCCTTCCCAGCGGGGCCCGGGGGTGCGATGGAGCGCGCCCCGGGTCGGCTCCGAAATGCCTCCTCGGGTTGTATTTTCGAAAGCACAGCCCCTGGGGCCCCGCCGAAGCGTGGCGTGCGGGGCCGCGATCCGCGCGCCGAGCCCGGGGCGCCGGCGGGCGATCGCGCCGGGGCTCCCCATCCGGCGCCAGAGCCGCCGCCGTGCCCGGGGGGTGCGTCCTCGCGGTCCGCCTCCCACCCGGAGGAGCGGCGCGCCCGCGGGGGCCGCCCCGAACCTGCCGGCTCCACGCTCGCCGCGCCCGGACAGCCTCGGGACTCGGCCCGGTGGATGGTGTGCGGCGTAGCGGGAGCCAAGTTGAAGGTGAGCGGCGGCGGCGTGTGGGCCCGAAGCTCTGGGAGCGCCGGGGACCCCCTGCGGCTTCAAAGAGCCCCGGGGCGCCCGGGCGCTTCAGGGGTCCCTCAGCGCCCCCAGGGCCGGCTACTGCTCCCCACTGTAAGGTGTGCATGAAGGTAAACTTGGCCGAACTTTCCTCACCCGGAGGACTGACCTGCACTACTTTTAAGAGGAAAGCAAATGAAATCCAGATGCAGGCTTATATGAAAAGAAGCAGATTGGATTAAAACATATATATAAATGGAGCCTGACAACTTTAATTGTATAGGCTTGTTCTTGCCCTTGCCTACGTAAGAACTTGGTAATGCAGACTCATCGTCGTTATGAAATTTCTTCAAATGTCTCGCTTCACTGGGAAGAAGACTATGTGAAATATGTATTTCCGATAAGATTAAAACTTAAAAGGAGTTTGAGTATTTATTGACTAAAATAGATTACTCCAAAGTGTCTATTGTGTAAATTAAATTCCTGAATGTAATGAACACAGCCAAATGGCATTTTTGATAAATTGGTCTACCCTGTTTTAGTAAAAATAGCTCCTTTTTACCATAATTTAATTCCTGTGCTTTCTGTAAAACCCGTTGTGGAGTTTTAAGAGACAAGCCTTAATTTTCTTTTCTTTTCCTTTTTTTTTTTTTTTTTTTTCCTCCTTCTTGTCTTCCTGAATGTGACAGTCTTTTTTAAGCATCCTGGAAAAACTGCCTGGGAAATGCATTTGGCTTCTAGAGCGTTATTAGATCTTATGAAGTCTTTCAGGTCACCCTCTCTCCCCCAGTGATTAGCTAGCTACTTATTCAGGATATGGTGAAGACACTTAACTGTGTAACTCTAGGATTCGATTGAAAGTTTCCCTGTCAGTTTATGGGAATGAACCATTAGATGTTGATCTTGAATTTAAAACATATTTTTCTTTCCTGAGCACAAGTTGTCTTTTGATGGTAGACATGACTTGGCCTTGGATGATTTCCTATTGCCGCTTTTTTCACATGTTTGAAAAACTTCAGTTGACTATGGACTACCAAAGTTCAAAGTATAAGGCTAAACTGGTTCTTTCTCTGGGCCCTGAAGAGGCCTTTTGAGTTGATATCTAGTTTAGTGTCATCTCTATTCCCACAGACAGTAAGTGACCCAATGAGACTGCAGTTTGAGAAGAGAGAATTCATTAGTTTTAGATTCTTCTCATCTTTCCAGAAACCCTTCCATTGAGATCAGGTTGCCTGCGGAGCCCAGTGTGAGTTGTGGCATTGATACCCGAGGGTGAAGAGGCTGGTCTCAGCTGGACCCAGATCCAGGTTAGAGACTTCAGTGGGTCCCTGTTAGATAAAGCAGTTGGCTGTGGCCTCTCTCACAACCAGTGAGCCAGGGCTGCGTTCTTATTCCTCTGCTTGGTCAGTCTTGAAGCTGTCTTGCGACTTAAGAGTGCCTGGGAAGAGAGTTTCCGAAGACTGAGCTCTATTTCGTTTCCTTTTTAGTCCCCAAAGCTTGTGGTATGGAAGTTTCAGTGCTCTGGCATTGCTAAGACTAGTTGGACAAGTTTTTATCCTATCCCACACTTGTAAAAACCAGGCTTTTTTTTTTTTTTTTTTTTTTAAATGAGAAAAACACCACTGTATAAATTTGCCTTTTAAATACATGCTTGAAAAGAGGACACTTTCTAAAACAAGCTCAAGTAACTCTGTATGTTAGCACAACTTTTGGGATGGAGCCTGCCAGTGACTTGCTTTCGTTGGAGGCATTATTCCTATTTGGTGACTGAAGTTCTTCTTTAAAAAACCTCTATAAGTAAAACTTTAAACACTTTTTTTAAAACAAGAAAGCAATTTCAATTTTGCTGTACGCCCATTTTCTGGTTGCTTTTATTTTGTTTTCTTGGTTAAGGAAGTGTGTATGTTACCTGTCATCCAGTACTATTTCCATAGGAAATATATTATTTTGATTGAAATATGTGTCCCATCGAGTACCTTTATGAAATAATGAGTAAACAAATCAAGGGTTTCCATGCTGTTGCTTTCTTTATTTCCTTGGTTCTTTTAATATTGGTGTCTTTGAGATTGGGTATGGGGAGCAGTCATTATCAGTTGATTGAAGTTTGCTTTTTTTTTTCTGTGAAATTATGTGTATTTTTTTTGTTTTGGTGCAAGTCTGTGAAGGGATGAAGTTATACAACAACTTCTCATACCGTTTGGGTCCATAGAGACCCCCTTCACTTGCTTCCCCAATTTTACCCATCTCCTACCAGTAGTTAGCTACATGAGAAAGTTGGAAAGGGACAGGGAATAGATTGCCAATTCCTTTAGGAATTATTCTCTCCTAATCCACTGAGCTAACCTAAAAATGCTAACCTCTCCTAATCCACTGAGCTAACCTTGAGCTGATTGAGCTCAAGACCTTTAATGGCTGTTGAAAAAGTCCTCCCCTCAGTTGTGTACAATTAAAACAAGCCCACCAGGTTTTATGTGGGAGCTGTGCAGAAACAATAGTCTGTGTTCCTGTAAGATCCCCTCACTCCTGTCTTCTCCCCTAACCCCCCCCCCCCCCTCCAGGCTACCAGCAACAGTCCACAGTCAAAACTCCTTAAGGCTGTGCTCACAGGCTGTGTTTTAGGAGAGAAAACAGGCTCACAGTAGAAAAAGCATTATTCATTTCAGCTCATTTATAAAGCCCAAGGAACATTCACAGTGAAATGAAGGAAGAACAAATTTGTTGGAGGAAACCGCGTCCTTTTTAAAAAAAGAGAAAGTCAGTATGTGAAAAACTCTTGCAGAGCTAGGCCACATTCTTCCTTGTGCTTCCATTATATAGTTCACAGATTTGGCCTCATGTAAATTCACATGAGTGTATCTGATGACTGTAACACAAATGTTACCCAGAGTTTTTTATAGAAGTTATTCTAACATATAGGATCATACATAATCTTAGAGATTATTTTGAAACCCACTTAAAACTAATGTACAGCACAGGCGGTGTGGCTCAGTGGTTGAGTCTGGGCCTATGAACCAGGAGGTCAGGGTTGGATTCCCAATCAGGGCACATGTCTGGGTTTTGGGCTCGATTCCCCAATAGGGGGCGTGCAGGAGGCAGCTGATTGATGACTCTCATCATTGATGTTTCTATTTCTCCCTCTCCATTGCTCTCTGAAACCAATAAAAATATATATTTAATAAACACTAATGTATAACTTTAAAAATATAATTGTTTTCCTTATGAAAGATCTGATTTTTACAATCCTCAAAGATAGACAGTCACATATCTTGTTGTTTTGTCTTAAGCTCTGCATTATGGCTGCAGAGAGATAGTTTTGGTTTCAGTTGAAATTCCCCTGCCTCGGATTGTTTAAACCAGACCCTTAATCTTATTTTAACATACTTAAAATGTTCAAAAAAACCCCGGAAGAATTGTTTTGTATAAGTAGCAAGTGAATGTAGTTTAAACAC